ATATCACATACACTCAGATTAGTACTATTAGAATAACATGTACTGCAAGAATGATAGTGTGATAGACATTCGACGAACAAGCAGAATATTACTGTCACATGCACATCTCATTGTAGTCAGAGCCACATCAAGCAGTCAGATCAATACTGTCACAGACACAATCAAAATACCGTAACAGCAACCTACTCACTTACAATAAATACAGCCACATCTCCGCCTGTACGTGCACAAAGCTAAAAAAAAAACTAAAATAAACTAGATGCTAGCGACTCATAACACAGCCAGTCACAGTATAAATCCCAGTGCTGTGCAGGGGGAGGGGTTTGCATTGTCAAAGTTGCTGCCCTTCAGATGAGACATTAAAACAAGGTCTTCTGCTTCTTCAGGTGGTTAAAGATCCAGCTATTAGAAAAGAGAAGGGAGTTTCTCTCTCCCAGTGTCCTGGTTTATAATCTCCCAAATAAACTGGTCATTTACTTCATGGCTGTTTGTGGACATTGCTGTGCGCAAATTGGCTGCTGCGTTTGCCTGTGAAGTACTTTGAGGTGCTCTGATGAGGTGATAAGATGCTATATCCAATGCAAAAGATTTCTATACAGCACATATAGAGATTACATCTCGCACACACCGATTCACACACACAACTCAGTTACATACACTCAAACTCACACACTCACACACACACTCTGACAGGAATACTAATAATTCCTGTAATTCTCGACCTTGACTCAGTCTATTTTCTTCCTTTTCCCGAGCCTGGCACCTTGGTGAATCCTTCACCCCAACTATCTCCCTCTGCTCCTCACTTCCTGACCTGATTTCTCCATCACCCTCTCACCAACTGGCCCAGGTCCACTTCCACACATTTACATCATCCATACATTGCAGCCTATACCAACCCCTCCAGCCTGTACCAGCTCATCACCCAAGCCTCGCCCGGCTCCACATCTCCCATCCCGTGGCTTATTAATATTCTTGTTCTAATGGTCAAAGATCATCAACCCCTTGCCCACCCGACCTCTGACTTCCTATAGTCTGCCCAGTCCAGCCCTCCACGTCCGCTGCCAACTGCCTGTCAACCTTTCCCAAAACCCACCCTCCACCCATCCTCCCCCACCACTCCGTTCCCACCCCAACCCACTCCCCCTCACCGCTCTCCCACCCCACTCCCCCTCCTCACTTCCTCACCCCACCTCCCCACCTCATTCACCCTCCCCTCTCCCACTCCCCCACCCGCTCCCCCCAACCCACCCCACTTCCTCACCCACTCCCCCAACTCACTCCCTCCCCATTGCTCCACTCCCCCTCCTCCACCAGCTCCCCTTCCCATACCAGAGATTGTACAAGGCAGTGAGTCAGGCTGTAGCTGGTTGTTGTGGCACAGAAGCCAGTTTGGATGGTAATTCGGGAGGACAGTTCAGACTGCTCGAGCCTCTTGTCTCAGCTGCTTGCTGCGCTTAAGCATTGGCACATGATCCTTGGTGAGCATGTTCCTGCTGAATGTGTGTCCCAGATACAAACGTGGAAAAGCTTTCTTTAGACAGATCCAAAATACCACCCGGACTCAGCTGTGGGATCATTGTGACCATAAAGATTTAGGATGGTTCAGAATTGTGGAGAATTCTCAAATCTGGCCTGAATTTGGAAGCCAGATTTCCATGTTTTTAAAAAGAAACTGGCTTCCAAATTCAGCCTTTTTTGGGGTCAGCCCCCATATACGGAAATCCATCATCATGCTTAAGAGTATCCAAACCAAACTGAGAATTCCATGCATTCCTCCTAATTCCAAAAAGCACTGGGCGCAGGTAGGTAGGAGCCAGGGCTTGGGGACAACAACAACAACAACAACTTGGATTTATATAGTGCCCTCCAAGCCAAATGTGTTGGGGGAACTGCTGGAGTCTAACCAGCTAAAACTGCATATCTTTTCATTGATATCGCTTACTGGCAAGCTTTTCCATCACTTGTTCAGCTAGGACCGCCCAAGCCATTAGGGCTTAGGCTTGGACGAATAACAGGTGCTGAGTTGAATGACTCCCTGCCTCCAGTGACTGGTCTGCCCTTTCAAGTCCTGCTGATGAGCCAAGCTGGGCTATGCTCTCATCAGCAGTGCTCTGGAATACTGCGGACCCACTTGGCTCAGGATCTGAGCTAGAGACTGTCACAGAGGGCTGGCTCGATTCCAATACATTGGGTCAGTTATGGGGTCAGTGCTGAGTGCCTTGGAGCTGCCTTGTGATGCTGAGGAATTCCAAATTTTGGATTCCAAAGATAGACTTGAACATTTTTCACAATTCTGCACCATATTAAAGTTCACTCTGTGTATCTGGTGGAACACTACACAGGAGATAATCTGACTAGAGCAGAACAGATTAAGGTGTAATGAACTAGCTTTGGAATCCAGAGATCGTAACTCGCAGCCTTTGAAACAACAACAACAAATAACATTTGTACAGTGCCTTTCACATCGGGAGGACATCCCACCACAAGGCAGCTCTGGGCCACTCAGCACTAACCCAATGTAGCAGCACGAGAGACAGGTGGACACCACTAACACAGTTACAAGACTGGTTCGGATGAAGAAGGCCATTCTTCCAGAATCTCCACCGTCCCATCACAGCATGCTGTGCTGTGTGACACTGGCTGTACAGTGGGGTGAGGAGAGCCCTTTGTGGAGTGTGGTAATTATCCGCTCAGAGACCAGAGCAGGTCTCAGGATGAGAAGCTGGGAATGTCCTCGGTGACCGTGGGCAGCACGCTGTCTGTGTTTGCAGCTCAACTCTGTGACTATACTCTACTAGCTCATTGGCATCATTCCCTGCAATGCAAGAAACACTAACACTCAGCATTACTGTGAAGTATGCCAGTATCTCATTACAAATGCAGCTCTGTCTGTCTCTACTGCAAAGGAAACCTATTTCTACTCTGAACCCAGTGGGACCTTCAAAGCCTCTCAGCCCAGTGTGGCAGGTGGCAGGTGCGTGGGGCTGCCCTGAATACTGACACAATATCCCAAACCAAATCTCTGAACGGTCAGCTCCACTACTCCAGTCTTTCTATTGGTTATGTCACAGACATGAAATTCCTCCCAGTCACAGCTCTCGGACCAGTAAGTTAATGTTTAAGACTGCATATTTTTAGAAACAAATCGCGATTCCGAAAAACAAACTGCCTTTAAACTCGAACTGAATTTCATTGCGTGGCTATCGGTGGGACGTTACTGACGACTGATTGGCTGCCGTGTTTATTCTATAAAAAAAATTTGGTCACTCAATCTACGACTGTTTGTGGGACTCTGTTATACGGAATTGCGGCCGTGTTTCGCCCACAAAATACACAGTCAATCCGCTTTACAATATATTCTGTGAAGGGCTTTGAGACATCTCAATGATGTGATAATGTGCTATACCAAACGCAAGGATTATTTTTATTATCTTGCAAAGCGCACTGGGGCATCCTCCTGACTTGAAAGACGTTATATCAAACATTGAAGGATTTTCTGCACAATCTTAATTTTGAAGATAACGGTCTCAAGTCTAAGACAATGAGAACCTTTATGCCTCTGAATGTTGGAATTCACCAAGTCTTAGCCTCTGAGACCATTTTGTCTTATAATATACAATTGGGTGGAATCTGTTCTTAAATATTGGTTTGATTTGGAAGCTGGTTTCTTTTTAAGAATTTCAAGCGCGGACTAGATTTAAGTTGGAAAGTCTGGGTGATCTTAAGGCTAAGACCATGAGAAATTTTAGGCCCTGTTAGAAATGAATGATTGGACAAAATAGTGCTGTAAAGGGTGGGTGTGGACGGGGGTCATTACTCTATACAAGACCTTAGGCTATGAATATTATTATTGATAACATAGCTTGGACAGTCTGGAGAGCCTCACTAGTTGCCTCACAGCCGAGCATAGGAAAGATCACTTCATGATATATGGATTAAACTCATCATGTGGAAACCTTTCTTCTTTACTGAGGGAATGTGTGTGAGGTTACAGTAGCTGTGTTTATCAAAGGCAGACGCCCTGAAATCCCATCATCTGGAAGGCAATCTGAGTCGTGCAAATTCAGAATCCTTCTGACCTGCGGCAAGCCACTTCTGGAGATTAGGATCTTTATGGTCTGGAATAGATGAGGGAGGAGAGAACACAGGTATGCGGCAGAGGGGATTGGGAGGGCTGGAGACTCATGTGAAGTATGGACACAGTCTAGTCAGTAAAGTCGGTTTAATTCTGTGATCTTCCCAATCTCTGGAAGTGGTTCAGGTCCCAGCCAGGCAGAGTGGAGTTCCGGCCAATCGGCCTGAGTTATTTTCAGTCACTTTAAAGAATGTAATCCCAGTTAAGAAAAAGCACAAAATAGATCTTATTCATAGCAAAGAAATGAAATGACTTGGTGTTGGGTGTAGTGTCAAATGTCCCTCTTCTCGGAGGGTCTGCGGAGCTGCAGCTCCCTGCCTGACCTGTGTTGTCCATTATTGTTTTACTAATAGAATTGTGGAGCCCTGTAGCATAGTAGTTAGTGTGCTCGCCTTACACGCGAAAGGACATGGGTTCAATTCCTGGACAGGGAGAAACCTTAGGCCAGTTTCCTTATTCCACATACCTCTGTTTACCCAGCAGTAAGTGAGAACCCGATTGTTACTCAAATGGCTGATTGCTTTTCTGGGGTAATAATATCTTAATTTTTTTTTACAAAGTAATAATTTAGTCACTCAATCCACGACTGTTTGTGGGACACTGCTGTTCGCAATTGGCTGCTATGTTTTTCCCACAAAATATACATTAATTTACTTTACAGTACATTCTGCAAAGCACTTTGAGATGTCTCGACGACATGATACGGCGCTGTATCAAAATGCAAGGATTATTAGAATCCCCTGTGTATGTCTCACTGTGATCTTACCATCGAACCCGCTCTCCCACCGCTCCACACTGACTGGCATCTCTCTCCCCCTCTCTGTCTCTCTCTCTCTCTCTCTCTCTCTCTCTCTCTCCACAGTACTGCGCCTTTGCTTCGCTCTTCTTCATCCTTATCTCCATCACTACCTTCTGCCTGGAGACCCACGAGGCCTTCAACCCAATCGTCAACCGGACAGAGATTGTGAGAAGCGGCAATGAGACACGGGTGGAGATTATACAGGAGACGGAGACTGAGGCCTTCCTGACGTACGTGGAGGGTGTCTGCGTGGTCTGGTTCACCTTTGAGTTCCTCATGAGGATAACCTTCTGCCCCAACAAAGTGGAGTTTATCAAGAACACCCTGAACATCATTGACTTTGTGGCCATCCTGCCCTTCTACCTGGAGGTGGGGCTCAGTACTCTGTCTTCCAAGGCTGCCAAGGACGTCCTGGGGTTCCTCAGAGTGGTCCGCTTCGTCCGCATACTCCGAATCTTCAAGCTGACCCGTCATTTTGTAGGCCTGAGAGTGTTAGGCCACACCTTGCGTGCGAGCACTAACGAATTCTTGCTCTTAATCATCTTCCTGGCCCTAGGGGTGCTGATATTCGCCACTATGATCTATTACGCTGAGCGGATAGGTGCTAAACCGAATGACCTGCGAGGAGACGAGCACACACACTTCAAAAACATCCCCATTGGCTTCTGGTGGGCGGTGGTGACCATGACCACACTGGGCTATGGAGACATGTACCCTCAGACCTGGTCAGGCATGCTGGTTGGTGCTCTGTGCGCATTGTCAGGCGTGTTAACCATCGCCATGCCGGTTCCTGTCATTGTCAATAATTTCGGGATGTACTATTCGTTAGCCATGGCGAAGCAAAAGCTACCGAAGAAGAAAAAGAAACATATACCGCGACCGCCCCAGCTGGGATCGCCCAATTATTGTAGATCTGATGTAAATTCTCCTCACCACAGTACCCAGAGTGACACTTGTCCACTCGCTCAGGAAGAGATTTTAGAAATTAACAGAGCAGGTAGGAAACCTCTTAGAGGGATGTCGATCTGATTTCGATATGCCTGCTTCGCACCCATCCCTCGGTAGCCATTGATAGTCTAGCTTGGGTTCCTAGGCAGGCAGCACATTCAACAGCCATGGCAGTGTCTGTCATCAGGACAAACCGTCTCTAGTAAGCACGTTATCAAATAGAGAGCTGTCCTCACCTAGCACCACCCCACCATGGACCCGGTAACCTGCCGGTTTCTGGTCAGCAGTGAGGCTTCAAGCAGAGGGAAGTGAAGCCGGGTGGATTGTTGCCTGGGATGGCTGAGACTTTATATACACCTGATAGAGCATCAGCTGCGGTCAATAGTCTGTAGTCCCCGTGTTAGTACACTTTAGGGCTACTTTTCAATGTAGATATGGGAATGAGTGAGCAGCATTGTTGGAGTGGTTGGGGAGAGTGGGAGAGAGGGGTGTAGGCCAGATTTCTGAAGAGTTAATCCTACCATATACAAAAGCAACCCAAATGTCTGAAACTACACTGTGTGTTTCCTCCAATGAATAACCTCAATAATGAAATTCTTTCCGGCTAGATGCGAGAAACAGCTACATTGCCCACTGCAGGATGACATGGCAGGGTACCAGGGGGCAATCTCACCCATAGGATCTTAACTCTCTCTCAGTGAGAGGCACATTTGATACAGTTTGATACTGGGGCAGTGTCAGACTGAAATATTTATACACCATCTAGTTTGGTGTGAAGATTATTTATTTCACTTTTACAAATATTCTTTGGGAAGTGGAAGTATTGAGCTATCAGTAATAGGAAGGTTATTCTCATGTGCTTTCAGGAAGTTTTGTGGAGTGAAAGTCTAAAGTAAATAGTCATTTGATTATGGGTCTCTACAGCTTGATCTGTATTTCAGCTTTGCTACATTCTATGGTTTCATTACAAGTGGTGCGTAAGATCACCCCTTATTGTGAGAGCGTTCCCTGTTCCATGTGTCCTCCTGGCTTCTTTGGCAAAGGAGCATTTCCCTTCTCCTTGTGTCTAACATCAAAATCTGTTCAATGTGGAAATAGCATCCACTCTCCGACTCAATGTACTCCCAAACCCAACCTTACCGCTCACCCACTCCCCCCAAACCCAATCCCACCCCTCTGCACTCCCTCCGCCAACTCAGCCTCCCCCCCAAACCCAGCCTCCTACTCCCCGCTCCCCCGAAACCCAATCCCACCCCTCCCCGCTGCCCCCCAAACCCAATCCCACCCCTCCACTCCAAATTGACTCCCTCCCCCAATTCCACTATGGGAATATTCCTAGCCCCAAACAATCTAGCTTTGTTTCTGAGGGAGTTGGAGCATCAGTTCAACTCATTGTCCAAGGATCAATGAAGGAGCCCAGTTGTATGATACACTAACTATGCTACAGTTTGGTTGATTTATTGAGGGGATATAGCTTTCCCGTGCTACTCCAATAAATTGAACCAAACCCTGTCTTTAATGCCCTCTTTGCATCTCTGCAGCTTAGTGTCTCCACAATGGGACAGGTGGCAGAGCTCCCTATCTAAGTTGATAAATAAAGCTCACAGCTCTCCCACTGGCCTCCATCTGATAGCATTGATTGAATCCAATTGTTGAATTAAGGAGCTGTTACTTCAGATTTTTTATTAGGGTTGTCCCTGTGACTGAATACCTGGTGTGAAATTTCTGTGTGAAACACAGTGTGAACAGTTTTCAGATTGGATGGCTGACCCAGGGAGTACACCTGTAAAGATAATGACAGGTGTTGGGCAGTTCATAGCTTGGCAGAGGTCAAATGGACTTGGCATTGAATAGCATCATGTTGGAGAACTGGGACAACAACAACAACAACAAAATTACATTTGTATAGCGCCTTTCACATCGGGAGGACATCCCAAGGCGCCGGATACGTTTAGTGCATGTAATCATCACTTATTCCACCCATAATCATATGTGGCCAAGGTGGAGGGGAGTTGTCAGGCAATTGTTTGTTACCATTTTCACCATCCTCCTCCCAAATATGAAACCCAGATAGATTCTTCATAACTGGAGTCAATTGGCGGTGAAGCTAAATTCTAATTGGCTTGTAACTGAGTTACTGTTGGGGTGCGCTATCAGTGGAGGGCAAAGACACATGGAGCCATCTCTAAGGGTATCCAAGATGGTAGTAAGGAACTCGATGCCCACATGTGTCTTCTTTCATCCCATTTTGATCAGCTTTTGAGGTGTGAGATTGTGATCTTTAACCAAGTTACCAACTCTGTGAAGATCTGGCATCACTCACTACCAGATTTGTAGAGGTATGGGAAAAGAGCGGGGTAGTGGGACTGATTGGGTAGCTCTTCCAAAGAGCTGGCACAGGCATAATGGGCAGAATGGCTTCCTCCTGTGCTGTAATCTATGATTCTATGAAGTGGCTGGAACTGGGTCAGTTTCACGGCTCAGTAACAGATCACAGATGGCCCACGCTCTGCCTCTGCCCGCGTGCTGCTTGCCAGGCAGCCTGACACATTCAGCACTTTAAGACATTAGAGCAGCATTGGATTACATTGGAAATGCGAGTTAAGGCACTTAAAAAATAACCATTGTTTGACTGATAATGCAGCGTTCCAAAAGGGATTGTGATCTGGCAAACCCGAAGTTCCCACATGGAAAGAGTTGTAATTCTGGTGTTCTGTTGAAGATGTTTCACCTTGTGCTCTTTATAGGCGCATGTTGGTGTTGTCAGATTTCATTGTTAACTAGACTTTGATGGGCTTGCAGACTTACCGGCATCTTAGATAGAAACCAGGATCTGTTTGGGAGCTGGAAGACAAGATTAATGCAACGAATCGGGTTTGTGAATAGTGCAAAATTTTAGATTCCTGATAATGTGGTTATTCTGTAAACAAACTGACCAAGGAGCAGTACACGCTGAAGCTTGTTTCAGAATGGACAGTGTCCCTGGATGACGGGTCCTGATGCAGGTTCCCTAAACAGGTGGGGGGGGGATTTCCTACCAAGAGAGATAGCGATGCTGGGAGCAGCAGCTGTGGGTTGGCACAGGGATGCTACAGGCTGAGGGAACAGACCTTCGCCAGGTGGTGTCAGAAACAGGCCTTCGACTTTGGGCAAGAAATGTGTGTGAAACCTGGATCAGGGCAAGAGCTGGTGGGCATCAAGTCAATGTTAGGATTCTAGACAGGAGCTCAAATCATTTCCTGGCCATTAGCTATAAGCCATAGGCTATATATGACTAGTAGGCCTGTATACAGGCAGTATTGATTCAAAGCTTTCTCTCTATTATATAATCACATCAAACCTTTTCTCCGTTATACATTCCCCATAGTAACGTGCTTATATTACTCCACGTTCCAGAGGGATTTACTCTGTCTCACAATGCTATGATGAAACCTATTGTCAGATGTTTGGTAGCGTTGCTTACTAAACCCGTGTACATTTCATTTGCAAATGCAAACCTCTTTTCCTGGCTAAATGTGCTGCCTCTGGAGTAACTAGCGCAAGTATTGCAAAGCGTAGAACCTACTAACCTTTAAGAAGAAATACAAAGTTAGTATTTAGCGTTTCATTCAGCTTTTTGCTTGTATATTTGAAGATCTTAAACAGAACGGCGATGCGGCAAATGCAGCATTGGCAAACGAAGATTGTCCTCATATTGACCAGGCGGTGACGCCTGAGGAACAGCTCCCCTTCACTCGCTCTGTCACCAGGGAGAGGAATGCCAGAGATGGGCCCTGCTTCCTCTTAGCAACCGGGGAGTTTGCATGTCCACCCGATGGAGGAATAAGAAAGGGTACGTAATTCACAGGCAAGATACAGTAATCTTACAGGCAGACATATCAATCTGTTAATCTAATATTGCTAGGATATACAGCTGCATTGGAGAAAGTGTATCAATGACTAATATCAGTGCTTAGCTGTGTAGAGTACATGTCTATGAAATTGCATAGAGATTTAGAAAGACGCTAAGCGCCAAGTAATGGTTAGGATTTCGCTCAATCCTCTCACTGGTGTACTGTATATATATATATAATATATATAGATATATACATAGAGACAGTATTATCAACCACACTGTAAGTGTGGGTTATAGAAGTTGCATGTGCCACTTCTAATGGGCAGTCTTCTATAGAGATCATTTAAGATGTAAATATCAAATCTAAAGTTAACAAATACAGATTGATAATGTGATCTCACTTTCAAAAGAAAGTTGCTCAGAAACTTCAGCTAAAAAAAATAATCTTTGTAGCAAAGTGTTGAACTTGATTCCATTTTGGGCAGATTGGTTACAGACTATTGAACTAATGTGTTTCAATGTCAACATATTGTTGGCCCAAAGGGCTGTGTCCCTAACCAGCATGAACAGCTGCGATATCTCAGCCGAACCCCCATCACACTTGTGTCCTTGTAGGTTTGTTTTAGTGCTATTTTTTTCTGTGCATGTCTCCAATGGGATCGGTTGCATGTATAAGTCTTTAAATGCTGCAGTGGACTTCGGAATAGTATCGAACCCCCATCACGTTGGCTAATTGCTTCTGAGATGAAAGACTAAAGAGTTCCGAGGCTTGCTTTCAGTTCCCTCTGGCTGGGATTGTTTGATGTCATGGTTCCTAACCTGCTTGCACCAAGGAGCTAACACTGACCTGATTCATAGCATCTCTTGAGCTGTGTTTAGTCAAGCCATGTGGATACTTCATTTTTAACAATAACAAATAGGATTGATTGCAATGAATGTTCCTTACTAATCTGCCAGGGGATGCCTTCCCCCACACCAGCCCCCCACCACCTCTAGTTAGCTCCAAGCTACATATTTTCCAGTGTTTGATTAATAATATTAATAATAATAATTGTACAGTATTTGAACCCCACTGGCTAGACCTGGGGAAATTGAATAGTTAACAATGTGGACCAGATGTCTGACCCAACAGAGAGCTGACCTCCTAACCTCCTGTTCCCCAGGATGTGTACAGTACAGGAAGGAGAGGTGTGGTGTCACCTCCTGACCCTGGCTTTCCTCCCTGCCTTCAGAGCACAAACCCAACCCACTTTACTCTGTAGCCAATGAACTTGATTCCAAACAGCGTTGAGTAAAATTTTTCGCTCACATCTCTCTCCAGCCAGTGTCAATTCCTTTGTTTTTTTTGGTCAGCTGGCTGTCTGATACATGGAGAAGCCCATCACTGTGCGTAAGAGTATCCAAACGAACTCCTTAAGTCAGTTTAACATGAAATCACCATTGAAAAGCCTCTGAGATCCTAGATGCAGCCTTCCCCACCGGTTCCCTCCAGTCTGACAGTTGGGTTTGGCCCCGCTCTTTGTATTAACTGTTTCTGATCCCTGGCTAAAACATTTTCCAACACAGTACACAAACCATTCATTAGTTCAAACTACTTTTACTATTCTAAAATATGAAATCTGACCTGTGTCTTTCTGTTGACAAACCTACATTGGAAGAGTTGGGGGTTCTGGCACCTGGTCGAACCCCTTTTGACTACCAGCCTCCCCCTCACCCCATTTTCCCAAGCATTTTGCCTGGTCCTGGTGAGGGGAATAAGTAGCCCACCCCACCTGGCTCTGTAGAGGAGGGGTGCTGAGCCTGGCAGGGCCTCTCTGAGGTCAGCTCGTGGGGATGTGACAGTGTCTGGCCAAGCAGACACATGCAATCTGTTATTTCAGGTCCTTCAGGTTTTTGTTTTGACTTTTCAAGGACTTTCTCAGACATTGGGAAAAAATTGTAACCCTGGTGTCCTGAAAAGGAATAAATAAATGAATCACATAAAGGTAGTCACACCGGCGGAACCTTCAAACTCAGTGAAGTCCTACAATGACTTGATCCGGAATCCACACTCAAATTGGACTTAATGCATGGGTTCAAGAAACAAATTTTCAGGAAGTGGAGTGATTGGGGGAGGTAGACTGGGGCAGAGGGATGGTGGGGGATCCTACTGATTTCTCCCAAAGAGTTAGGGAGGGGGCGATGCTCTTATTCCCAGTAAACTAACTGATGAACGGATTTCTCTCTAGGGGGAGTGGTAATGTAATGTATCGCCCTCAGCTCCATTCTCACACCACTCGGGCTCACCCAGTCAACAACCAACAAAGTATCGGCCTTGGTTAGTCACTAACAGGCACACTGAGCACACTGTCACTATGAGGAACTGCTCTCTGTGTGCGACAGCCAGTGTAATATCACCCCACCCAATTGCTGACTTAGGAGTTATTATTGGCCAAGCTAATGAGAATGGTTGTCATAGGAACTTAGAAGCGAGTCAGTGCAAGTTCGACTGATCTCTTTGTCTTTCATTAATGGTGATACTATAAGCATGGAAGTGCATGGAAATGATGTCGACTCATCATTGTCTATTGTCTTGTTGACCCAACGCTGTACTTTGCATTTTTCCTTATTATAAAGGTTATGAAAACTCAAGGAACCTAAGCAGCAGAGCTGGCATGAGCAGAAATGCACTAAGATTGCCATCAGTGCCACCTTCGCTCTTCAGCTCTCCTTGTCCATTGACGCATTCTCCGTCTCCCATCCCATCCATTGTGTAGCATGGATTAGTAGTTGAGAATGGTCCAAAGCTTTAGTCCTACAGCCTGCGTGGGCTTGCGTGGTACCAGCTGGCTAAGTGTGAAGATCACCTATCTTTTGGTTGCTCCTCATCCAATTTGGTGGGACCAACCCGGCTGGTTTCTGGATGACATTATGTTAGCACGCTGGTGGCACTGCATGGGGATTGGCATCGAGCTGGAGATCACCCAGGGACAAGCGGCTTTCATTAAAGAATGGGGAGGGGGGAGGGAGGGAGCCTCATTGCTTTGTGAGCGCTCTGTCGCCCATCGCCCTCAATTCATTGAGAATGGGGTAACTCGATATCTGTTATTTCACCTCACGAGTGAATGAAGATTCCCCTTTCTCAGATCTCCAAAGGAGGTCCCAGCTAGTCGGGTTGCATGTCGAGGTCGGCATTGGAAGAAGGCTGCTCTCTCTGCATGTAGTCATACAGTTTCATTCTTAAAGACAAACATTGACGTTGAAGGAGAGCATCAAGGAAGCTCCAGAATTGACTGTATTCTTTACATCCAGATTTCCGCAAGGGCAGCCCTCTCTCATTGCTAGTTGTAAGCGAAGAGGGGAGTCAAAGTAACTTAATGTGATGGGAGAGAGACGTGGACGGCTCTGTGGACAATTAGCTGGTCCCTGAGGGAATTTCAAGCGGCGAAGACTTAGGACAAACACAACTACTGGGAACAAGGTGTAAAGGACCATTGGGTGTTACAGAATTGACCCAGAGTTGATGGCTGTCTCTCAAGTCGGTTGTACTGAAATGGTACAAAGTTTACCTCGATTACCAGCATGAAATGCATGACCTAGAAGTTATGATTCCATCATTAATTGTCCAATTAGAAACTCCATTCCCTGTCCGTAACTCCACCTCAAGCCAGAGCCTATCAAACCTCACACGGACTGATTGCCAGAAAGACCAAACCGCATTTGCTGGCAAAATGCCTTTCCCTTTTATTCTGTTTTTTAAACAAAATACCCTTTTATTTTGAGTTTTATTTCACGAGGTGAGAATCAGATTTAAAACAAAGACACACGTAAGTGGGGACCGGTCATATTGACCACGTCTTCATTCTTATATCTAAATCCAAAGTCTTCGAGCCAGATAGAACCATGTCACTTGAGAACCACTTTGATCCCTTGTCTATGTTTAAATTCAGCATGTTTGTGACCTGGTACTTTCTCTATACCGTATGTTGTATAATCTCTATGGAGCTTAACCCTTTATACTGACAGTCTTGACCCCCTATGTTCCATTTATCAGTATATAGTTCAGACTTTATTAGAAACTGTGCAAATCCATCGAAAAGTGTACTGATCAGTGCTGCTTCAGACTGGACTGAGCAGCAAAGCGATTTTGATCTAATTTACTCTACAGTTGGAATCAATACTTCGGCACTGTATGCAATTTAGTTCTGAATACGTGCATGCACAAATATGTTATGCAAAAAAAAAAGAGCATGAAATAAATTTTGTATTAAATGAATCCCTTGTTTCTGGGTCTGGTTTCTTGCTTTGGAGCGATGAGGGTTGTCAGCCTGGCTCAGTTGGTTGCACTCTTGCCACTGGGTCACAAGGTTGTGGGTTTAATGTAATCATTGCATTTGATGTAGCTAACGCTTTTCACGTCAGGACGATGACTGAAATTGCCTCACAGGATATACTATCAACAACAACAACAAATTACATTTGTATAGTCTCTGTCACATAGGAGGACGTCCCAAAACGTAGTGACTGTGTATTTTGTGGACAAGAGCTGTGGAAAGTCAGCTTCGTAATTAAGACTAGTTATAACTATTTTCTACATCTTACCTCACTAAGACTTGTTGGATCTTTGAATTAAGTACTTTCACATCAGCCACATACAGTGTGCCATTTGCTCCACTCAATGCCCCTACAATATGCCTCAGTCTCCCATCAATTCAGAACAGTGCTCCTTGTGTGTCAGCTTGGCACAGTGGTAGCACTCTCACCTCTGAGTCGGAAGGTGGTGGGTTCAAATACCACGCTGGCCAACAATCCCCCAAATAAAATTGGTCACTCATTCCATGACTATTTGTGAGACACTGCTTTGCGCAACTGGCTGCCATGTTTTGCTTACAAAATGCACAGTCAAAAATCCACTTTACAGTATAGCCTGTGAAGCCCTTTGTGACACCTTGACACATGATAAGTCACCTTATCAAATGCAAGGATTATTATTATTACTGCAGCAATGTAGGATGCTATGCTACATTAATGCTAAATGAAGGCCTATGAACTGGGACCTGGATTAACACTATCCACACTCAATATCTTAAACTCAGTTTTCAGGAGTCTAACCCACTGCACTATCTGGAACACCTGGTTTGTTTTATATTCATTAGCATTTGATACAACAACTTTAACATCGAAACCCCTCATATCGCTTCACAGGCAAATAGCGATCGCATATTTATAGACAAACTTGCCAATTTCCACATAACAAAGTCCCACAAACAAAGTGCCACGAGCAATTATCTTCAGGATGAGGTCTGTTTGCAAAGTGTTTCACCGGATCTTCAATGTCCACCTGAACAGACTGGACCTCACTTTGACATCATCCAAAGTTCAGCACTTCCAACAATGCTGCATGTTCTCAGTCCTGTGCTGCAGTGAGTTCAGTCCTGGACCTCAACGTCCCAGCCTGAGGTTCTAACCCACCATCTTCTGACCTGGAGGCCAGACTGTTACCAACTGAGCCAGGCTGGCCGATAACACTGGTCAGAATGCTATTAAAGTAGCAGGACATTCTGTGATGGTGAGACACTGGGATCGGATGTACAGTGCTATAGGACTGCTTCAGGTATAGAACTGATACTGACTTACAAGAGAGCATCTTATGCAGGCTGAAAAAAGCATCATGAATTTCACCATTATCAAGTGCAGTTGGTGCAAAATCCTTTTCAGTGATAAATACTGTCAGCACTTACTACTAATGTAGGTTCAAACCCCAGCCTGGACTTAGAGCGCCTGGTTTATAGACTGACACTCCAGTGCAATCCTGGGTGGGGGTGTGAGGGGCTGAGGCTGCATTGTCAGAGGTGCTGCCTTTCAAATGTGGCATCAAACAGGTTCCATCTGCTGTGTTCAGATGGTCAGTAAATATCCTGTGACACTATTTGGAAAAGAGAAGGGACCTTAATGTGCACAAGTAACTGCTGCATGAGCTATCATGAACAAGTGATAGGTTCCAATAACATGTAAATCCTTTCTCTTTGTAATAATTACCAACTTCATCTCAACATTTCAGCATTGAGCCCAGATGGTACACTGGGATAGAGACTGAGTTAGAGATTGGATGGTACAGTGGGTTAAAGACTGAATGATAAAGAATTTTCCATGATGCTGACTGTAGTACTATGAGCTAAGATGATGTGGAAATTGGGGTCTTTGGTGGAGTTCTGGGGGAATAAGGGAGCGGAAAGTTGCTTTGTATCGATGGTAACTGCCTGAATATTCATGGCACCAGGGACCAGTTAATGGTTTGTGATCCTCTAATCGATTAATCAAATTCGGCCACAAAGTGGTGTGGCCACTTCACTCCAGTGCCAGTCTAATCTGCATTAACTCAGCAATTTGATTCCAAGGGTATATGGGTTGTTCCTAATAAGCAGGATAATACAGCCTAAATCATTTACTTTCAGTCGTCTCTTCACATCATCGATTACACAAAGTTTTCCTTCATAAAATCTTGTTTGTTATTCTCGACCCAACAACACATTAGGATTTTTAATCTGATGAAAGGTCATTGACCTGAAACGTTAACTCGTTTTCCTCTCTCCATAGATGCTGCCTGACCTGCTGAGTGTTCCCAGCGACTCCTGTTTCATTTCAGATTTCCAGCATCTGCAGTATGTTGCCTTTTTTTTAATCTGTTGTTTTCCAAAATGGACACAAGTGGGTGAGAATGCAGAGCATTTTACATCATTAATAACTCCCCTTCCTCTCCCCCCATCGCAGCTCAATGTCTGTCTTAGTGTGTGAGCCTCTAGCTGCCCATCAGGGCTTTGAGCTCATAGTGTAGACTGATGCTCCAGTGCAGTGCATAGTTGTCATAGAGATCGCGTGACACAATAGGTAAAGAAAAGAGAGTTTGTCCTGGCCGACAATCCCCAGATAAGTTGGCCACTCACTTCACAGCAGTTTGCAGTGTGTGAAATGGCTGCTGCATTTGCCTACAGTCACTTTACATGAATGTCTGTAAAGTGTTTGAAGCTGGTCTGACACTTAAAACCTCTTTCCCTACAATACAGCAAATTAACAGCATCCAGAACGGAACAGTCAGCTGTACCTTGGTCAGAGATTATATCACACGTAACACACTCAAACTGTAATACACAGGGACCAGAAGATAACATAACCACAGGGGAGCCATTCAGTCTATAGTGCCTGTCTGACAGTTTATTACATTATAATAATGATAATCTTAACATTTGATACAGCACCTTTTACATCAGGAGGATGTCCCAAAATGCCTCATAGGAATCACTAAAGTTTTTTTTAGGCAAAAAAGGGTGTGTGGGAAATGAGACTAAAAGATCCGCCGTGACCTAATAAAGTGACTCAATGGACAGAATGGCCTCCTAGGTTCTCAGTGTAACTGTCTTGTTTCAGCTACCTTGAGTAAAGGGCACAGTGTTAACCAACCACCAGCTGTTGCATTAACACACTGTTTAGGTGCAAAGCGGTGTAAGACATGGTTGTATGTGCAAGGCAGCTCACTTGCAGCATCACGTTATGTAAGGCCCAGCCCCGACCCGGGCACACAGGAGAGCTTCATAGTGGCAACATTTCATTGCACAGGAACTGCCTTCACATGTTTCACCCATCACAACTCTACTCCCTTCCCGCACGCCCCACTGGAGAGATTAATGAGGGCAGGCCCTCAGGACAAAGGAGTGTCACGTGTGACGGAAGATTCCAGAAGCTGCAGAGCTGCAGAAGGTTTGTCCGGGAACCTGGAAGGGCAGCCTCGCCGTCAGGCTGGTTACATATCGAGGAGGGTTTGAAAACCTTGTGATATCTTTAATATCTTACATTAAAATTACAGGAAAGGTTTAGTATTAAATTAGACAAATGTCCTGAACCACTGTTGTCTGAAGCAACGGTTGGATTTTCAGTGACCATCGACTCAAAATTCCACCTGATGTTAGCCTTAAGATCGTCTTGTCTTGAAATTTCAGCTGGCGCAGAATAGAGGAAAATTCTTCACTTCAGGCTTAACTTGGAGCTGGTTTCTTGTCAATGTGGATGTTGGGTGTGGACAGAATTGCTTATAAAATAGTTACTATACTTAATTTTAAAATCCTATGAAATTCTTTGAGTTGTCCTCCCATCGCCATTTATCATTCGGCCTTCACAATCTCTGCCCCTACCCTCTAGAACTCCATTCTGCAGTCCCTATACCTCGCACCTTCCCTTGCTTCCTTGAAGACCCGCCTTAAGACCCTCCTCTTCGACTGGTTTCTGTCACCCACCTACTCCTGCCTTCCCCCTCCCTCCAACCCTTCTGATCCCAACCACCAGCTCGGGTACGGATCCTGATTGTCCAGCACCTTGGGATGTCCTCCTGACATGAAAGGCGCTAGTGGTGTTTTATCAAATGTAAGGATCATAGCCTTGAGCTTGCCTTGTGATTCCTTGCCTGACCCAGCGACCGACCTACAACCTGCCCACACTGACTGTCGGCGCCAGCTCAGAGCTGTACCCAGCAGCAAGATGAGAAATGCAGAATGGGAAAGCAGAATGAACTGTGGCTGTCATCTCTAACAGTGCTCATTTCTCTAATCACAGGATCTCACACTGGACGTGTCAGTGATTTTTGATACAAGGACGAACAATTCTCAATTGTAAAATTCTTAGCTCAACTGCACGCAGTCAAGGACACCGGTAGTTGTCTCTGAAAGTGACAGGATCCAGAACTCCCACAGAATGCAGGTCTAAATCACCAGTTCATAAATGGATCCCAGGAGCGGGGAACATAGGAACAGGAGTCGGCCAATCAGCCCCTCAAGCCTATTTTGCCATTCTATTAGATCTTGGGTGATCTGTACCTCAACTTCAATTGCCCACCCTTACCCCATATTCCATAATACCCTGACCTAACAAAAATCTGTCCACCTCAGTCTTGAAAATTTGAATGGATCCAACAATCACAGCCTTTTGGGGATCTCAAAGCACTTCACAGCCATAAAGTGTGAAGGGAGTTTCTCTCTCCCGGTGTCCTGGCCAACAACCTCCAGATAAACTGATCATTCACTTCATGATTGTTTGTGGAACATTACAAAATTGGCTGCTGCATTCACCTACAAAATATACAGTCACAGCACTTGATAGCAATTCTCAGCGGCGGCTTTGAGAAGTGTTTCAGTGTTCTGAAATGGACTATATGGTCTTATTATATTCTTATTATATTATTACAGAGTATATTATAATAATAATAATATTAATAATAAGCCTTGCATT